ACATCTAGTTGCAATTTCGTGTTATTAATTACAGAAATTAAATTTTTAATTGCCCCTGATAAATTTAGTAAATACAACTTAATATAACTGGTATCAACCATTCTCTTATCAGTGGTAAAGGAGCTAAGTAGGACGGAGCTATCTTCACAGACATAAATTTTGAATCCTTGTAAAAAAAAAATTGTGACTATGAATTTGTTTTATTTTACAACTGTTATCGTTAAAATGTGTTAGAAGCCTTGTATTAAATTTTCAAGCTTTTATAACGAACAAATAAATTGTTATCGATACCTATTTATAGAAGAAAAAACTAAAAAAGTTGAAAAATTAAAATGTCAGTAAACAGCTCAAAACAAATCTAAATATTTTGAAACTTTTATCAAATATAGAAAATGCCTAATAAACATTCAGTGAAAATTTAAAGTATCTGCGGTCATTAGTTTTAGACTTTTAGAGTTACACCAAAATAAGAAAATCACTAAATTGGTCCTTGAGTAATGAGTTGCATAGGGCTACATTTTCATGTAATCTTTGTTCAAATCACATGATGGTTAGTTGATAAGCGCGTGTTTACCTTTACAACTGATAGTAATTGGTTATTGGCTTATTGCTCCGTGCTCGTAACATGATAAATTAAATTTACGAATTTACCATGAATATCATGGCTATTGAGTATTGGCTAATAATCTCTTGATCTCTTCACTCTTGAGCTATTTAGAATTATATAATATATATACGGTAAACTTGTAAATGTAGACTTTCAAAGTTATAAAATTACAATTTGTTCAATGGTAAAATCTTCACATGGTGTATTGCATATWTTGGTTTCAGACTTCTATTTAATGTTTATCATTATACATACATTTTAGAGGAAAAGAGAAATTGAAACTAAATGATAAATTTGTATTTATGATAGGTATATATTATTCTTTTACAAAATAACCATTGATCATGTCAATAAAACTATTAAAATATATTGTCACAAATAGCTGTATAAGGAGCAGAGTACATAATTTAAAATATATGAGTACAGTAAATAATAATAAGCCGTAAGTATTGACCTTAATTACATTTTAGTCATAATTATTTAGATTTTTTTTTTATAAGTTGAACAAGTATTACTAAATACCAGTTTTTCTAATTTAGTTAGTGCATGTATTGAAATGTCATTGACGATAATTGAATAATATTAWTTGTTGAGTACATTATCAAGAAAATTTTTATTCTAAAGTTTTAGTAAATGTCGAAAGTTGTTTAATATACTTCATGATAACTGATTATTATTTGTTTTTTTTTATTCTTATAATGCCCTTAATAAAAAAAACTATTTTTTAAATAGTAAATTCCAATAATTTGCTATTTGTGATATTTCATGTTCACTAAATTAAGATTTTACGGAACCATTCTATTAGTTCTTTTCTTCATTGTTGAAATCATACTTCTCCTCATTTTAAAATTCAACTGTAGTCAATTATATCCGTATTGATATACAAAATAACTTAAAGTACTTATATAATTTTATATTTCAGCATTAAAGTAACTTTTAACAAAGCCAATGGTGACAAAATTATTGCAGAAGGCAAAAAAGGAGATTCTTTATTGGATATCATTATAAATAATAACTTAGATTTTGATGGATATGGTATGGTTTTAAAATTACTACTCAAATTAAGTATTTATTAGTATGTTCTCTGTTAAAAGTTATATTGCATTTATTTTTTCAGGAGCATGTGAAGGTACGTTAACATGCTCTACATGTCATGTGATTTTAGATTCAAAGGATTATGATGCATTACCTGATAAACCTTCTGATGAAGAATTAGATATGTTAGATTTAGCATATAACCTAACTGATACGTAAGAAAATATTAATTGAATATAATTCATTACTAGACTAGCAATTGAAATATAACATAATCTATGAATGTTTATATTTTAATCATATAATTTTACTCTTAAGACATACTAGTTGTAACTTTGTAAGTTGTATCTAAATAATTTTCTAAAATCTAATTAGTTACATTATTTTTAATGAAATTGTATCATTTAATTTTAACTCAAAGCACAACTTATTTTATTACTTAGCATAACTTATTGACCTTATAAAAACTATAAGGTCAATTAAATTAGTATTTTGAATTCTAACCAAACTTAAACGTATGATTAGTAATAATTGTATTTAGAATATAATAATTTTGTTTCAGGTCTCGATTAGGATGTCAAATAATTTTAGAAGAAAAATTAGATGGCTTAGAAGTCAAAGTACCAGCTACAGTTAACGATGCTAGGTATAATTAAAACATGTAATTAAGGAAACAATATTTTGATAAAAAAACATTACTTTTCTTATTTAATCATTATATTATCAATAATATTATTTTAGAACAAGATATAGACATTTAAATGTTTAGCTTTTTAAGAGTTTCTCCAAACTAACATATTTTTAGTTTTGATTTATTTTTTTTGTCATTTAAATACTTACGGGTACTTAACTAGGAATACAGACCAGAACATACAATAATATTAAAATTTTTATAGAATRTACAATAGATATTATTAATTAATTAGAACCTATATAAAATGGTTATTTAACCTGAAATTAATATTTTTATATTTATAGTGAGTAATAACTAATAACTAATAAGATTATACTACTTATTAGTGTTGCCAGTTTGTTGTTGTAACCATTTTTTAATCTATTTTAATTTAATATTGTACAAACAATCAAACCTTCTTAAAACACGTCAGCCATCAGGTACATATTATTATATTCCTTATGGTTTTTATTACACACATACTCACTAATGGTCGACCAACTAGGATCTTAACATAACCTAACAGAAGGTTATTTATTTTAAATTTTGAGTAAGTTTTAAATTCTGAAAGAAGCAATGAATGTATTGATTTTAGAACAATGTTTTTGTTTTTGTTTCTGTTTATCATCATCAATTGAGAAAATTAAAATGCTTTAATTTTCTATTTCAGCATCTTTTTTAATAGAAAAGTGAATCTAGTTAGTACTTTGGTAGGTACAATTTTCACCAAATGTTTACATTGACATTTTTTGTATTCTATAAAATTTTCAAAATATATTTACCATTTTTAAGATATTAATAAAAGGCATAAGAAATTTTTTTTTTAAATTATTGTAGATAAAAATGTTTTTTGGACTAAAAATTTAAAAGTAACTTAAGGGTTCCTTTAAGTTGTTGTAAATATAAATTTACATCTGATCTATAAATATCATGTTTTATATTTTAAGATTATAATTTCTGGATTACATCATATTTTAATTTTTAATGTATATTGTTCATCTATTTACAAAAATAAATTTTTATTTCAGAGASTAAAATTACATTTAGCTATAAACATTGTTTTTTTGGAATGTGAACACCGTTGTTGCAAGTAAATATATATTAAAATATCAATCAAATTTGAATCCTTTTTGTTGGAGAGCTATTTTCGCTTCTTTTATTTCCTATAAGAACATAACATATAAAATTGAACTTTTACAGCATAGTAATTGAATATTGTAAGTTACCGCTTGTAAATCTTCTGCAGCTGATTTGCAATCATTGAAAGTTGCCACTCTATACAATATAACTGCTAATGCAAACACCTAAATATGTTAACACGTTACAATGACAGTTATAGATATTTTGCAAATATTCATATATATTGGTACTTACGCCAAACAAAATCAGTAAAATAATCGGAAGAAATTGTATTATAAAGAAACGTTCCTTAGAAACTTTACTATCATACTGGTTAAAAAGTAGAGTTAACCATAATATAGAGAGTATATTTACACCAACAACCCACTGAGTTAATTTTTTCATTTTATGGGTTTCTGGGATCACCTTTAAGTTCTGAACAGTAATGAAAAATATATACAGTTAGGTTCTCATTCAGCATCCACTAAATCCTATATAACTCGTTGTATAACTACTGTATAAATACGTATTGGTATAGCAATAGTGCAATACTTCAATACTTAATAGTATATAGATAAGAGTGATAAGACCGTCAATTGAGGTATGTTATTCTATATGTGATATGTGAACCGTGATGGTGATATACACCATGACAAAATAAATATTTTGTCATGATATACACTTTTGCCATAAATTATATATTTCGTTCTGCACAACATTACTACCATATAAGCACAGAACATTATGATATAAGTGTAGTAATGTTAAATACACGTTTATTTGAACAGCCTACATTTCAGCTGMATAATGCATAATATGGCCATTATTACATTATCGTGCTATTATCAACATAAACAAAACTCGTTTTCGCAAACGTAACGTCAAGGCACGTCTGTACCACCACAGAATATAATATGATATACATTTCATATATTATTCTGTGAGTTGTGACTACACACCATATTGGCGTATTATTTAGTATTCTAAGAACGTGACAAGATGGGTTTATATTTTATATATCAATATATCTACTTTGAAACGTGGTAAAAATGCCACATGGCCACATGGGGGAGCACCGAGCAWGACGCGCAGTAGTTGATCCAGAGGTCATCCAAGGGGGGGAACGAATTTTCAGAAATGAAAGACCTTTTTTTATTTAACCTGTAGTTTATTAGAGGCTAAAATTATTTGCGTTATTTCACCTATRAAACTAAATAAATATGATATTAATAAACGATAAATAGATAAAAGTAATTTTTTTTTTTATTGATCTTATATAAAACATCGGCTTCTGTGGCCATTAGTTTAAAAATTTACMGTAATTTAAAATTAGTTAACAATKACAATATTATATCTACATTGTGGAATTGAGGGCTTAAATAAGGTTGTATAGCTGAATTTCTTTTATAAACTGTAGGATGTTGGAGATTGATTGGGTGTCATGTCCTAACGCTTCTCCGATTTGTTGAGATATGTTGTATTTTTTCCTCGAGTCTTCATATTTTTGGCATTCAGTAATAATGTGTTTTACTGTGAAGTCCACCCCACACATTTCGCATATGGGGGATCATTTTTTTCCATGAGGTGCCTGTGTGTGATGAATGTGTGGCCTATTCTTAGACGATTTAACATGGTTTCCTCTTTCCTATTTAGTCCGGGGTTTTGCCATATCTGTGTACCTATTGTTTTTTATTTGGTTTAACTTTGTATGCTGGTTAGTCCATTGTGTGAGCCATTTTTCGTCTAGGACTTGTTTGATTTGTTATTTTTTGTCTTCATATGTGTATATATTGAGTAATGGGGTAAAAGTAATTTATTTTTACTATATTAATTTAATATTTTAATTTACAAAATTATATTCACTTATCAGTTATCATGATTTTATCACAGAATATTCTGTGATTTTATTTGTCAATTTGTCATAGATTTTATTATACAATACAAATTACAATATTACATAATATAATATCTAAAAATATAACATCTATAAAATCATATTGATACATTTTTTTTCTCCTTGGCAAATCTGTCATTTGTCATTGTCAATAATGCACGATTATAAAGATTATAATCATGCAATAATGTGATCCACATGACCACATATTTTAGTTGTATATGCTTATGAATGAATCTAGGACAAAATATCCACTGACAAAATATCCAAATGTATCCATTTTTACGTAAATTAGTAGATTACACTTTACTTACTAAAGTCGCGCAGCGTCAAGCCGTCAACTGGGTCACTATTGGACCACCATTCAAAAAAAAAAAAAAAATATATGTTAAAAAATCTTTGCGAAGAGTACAATGATGGAAGTAGGGACATTCCATATTTTTTAAATGCTATTGCTAATTATATTAGAAATTAAAATAAAATGTTCCATTTTTAAAAACGTTTTTCTAAATTTTTAGAAAATAGTGTAGGTATTATTTTATTGTGTGTTCATAAAAACAAATTATTTTACATTTTACATTTTTACATTTTACTATTAGTGATGCAGTGTAGGTATATAGTCATTTTTTTACCAAATTATTTAATATTTTATTATGTGTATACTGTATTCACAAAAACAAATTGTTTTACATTTTATTTTATATTATTTGACTATTTGACTAATGTGTGTGCAGTATATTTTGTGGTAATATTACTACTAACGTAATTTATATATTATATAATATATTTATATTTTTATAATGTGTAATATACTAATTTACGTAAAAACGGATACATTTGGATATTTTGTCCTTGGATATTTTGACCGATTACCCTTATGAATATGTCAAAGCAGCAGAGCGCTAGCCGCTAAGCCAGTGAAGCGTTCTTCCCCCATTTGATACCTCAACCTGGTTTTTAATCTAATCAAATTTAAAGCAACCAGGAAGCAATATAATACAGCTATATAATAACTATAAATTAGAAACTTTTAACTATAAAATATAAATTTGTATAATATTACATAACTAAGTATATAGATATCATGCTATTACATGCATTGTAAAACATATTTTATTTTATTTGAAAATTATTGAAAATAAGCTAACSTGTGAAGTGTAGAGAAGCTCTTCTCTGCAGAGGCAACTCTTACAGGCAAAGWATAAATAGTTATAAGCAATTGTTTAACAGTTGGGTAAATATCACTAAAGCATCATTATGTTACTTGATATTCCATTGCCAAAAAAGCAAGTCATTATAAGTATTTAAGGTATTTACAAGTGTAAAACCTTCTTGTATCCGCCAATGAAGACTTTAAAATGTATTTTCCAAAGCATTTTCTGYAACGGGCCAAATTAGTAATAGTTAACATAGGTAGTTTACTTTTAAATTGTTTCTATAAACATTTTTTATTTTTTAAATTAATTCCCTTCCACCATGAAAATTATCTGGGGATGTCCTTATAGTAGTAAACCTTAAGCCGCGTCCACACCTGAGCACGCGCAGACCGAGCATGTGTGCTCATGTTGTTCGTCCTACACATGATTTTGACGCACAGCGAACGCGAGCCGAGTCGGTCGGCTCGGCGTTAGCACACATGCTCGGTCTGTGCGTGCTCAGGTGTGGACGCGGCTTTAGAGTAATAATAATAAATAAATAAGCAAGTAATAAGTGTAGTAGACAGTAGTCTGTTGCAGAAATCCAAAGCCCTATCAAGAATAAAGATATTTGATAATATCAAATGTATCATAAATATCTTAATCCGTGGACCCTACTCATAGGTAATAAGAATAATAGTGCCACAAACTAAATGAAATTAAAAATAATATACGCGGTATGAGCACTGGCCACTGAGCATGACGTAAAATTATCACCAAAACGATTTTTATACTTAGTAGAACCATTGATTATAAATACTAGTATTTATAATCAATGGTAGAACGTTTGATTTCGGTACCTCCACGATACCTTCCGATATTTTAAGTTGAAGGAATAAAACCAAATTTCATCTATGGAGGTAACTAATGATGTGATAACCAAAGTTTCAACGTTCCCATCATTTTTGAACTAAATATTTGATAATGTCGCGAATCGCATAATTTATGACCTAAAAGTATTACATTTTTATCGAAAATCGTAATGACGTTAGAATGTTTGATTCATTGTTTCATCGTTTCGTGTCATTATTTAAATCAGTCGTCACCTGGCTCGGTTTACACAGTTTCAACAACATCGACGTAGAAATCTTATACAAATCAAATGATTTTATCATCGTCAACAAACCGGAAGACGTATTTACAAACAATCATAACAAAGCAGTCAGTAAAATAAAACAGTATATTATTGAAATTAAATACCAAAATTTGTAATYGATAGATTGTTCAGCTGTGGGGTTGATGGTCTTAAAAGCATAGGAAATACTTCAATGGTCTAAATGTAGTCAAATAGTTTTGTTGTAATTWGTCTGTAGCATAAAATAAAATATAATAATATTACAGTAAAATTTCGATTACCCACCTCCGTGATTCAAACCCTCTGTTATTCAAATTTTATTTTGTTTCAATTCATTTATCCGAACATCGATGCGTAAAATATCACTACACACACTTCTGATCAGTGGTCATACGCTGCAGTTTATCAGTGTAAAGCAGCAACTCGTCAAATAGATCAGTTTGTCAAAAACAAATAATAATACATACATAATAATAAGTCTATAATATTTAGTAATATTCTTAAATTTGTAATATAATATAATTTAATATATGAGTATTATAATTAAATATAATACAATATTATGTAATATATAATGATAAGTATGAATAATAAGTCGATAATAATATGCAGTGATAATTCTATACTCATTGTACAAATACATTTTTTTTTAATTTCTATTATCCAACATTGATGTGGTCCCAATTAGTTTGGATAATTAAGAGTCTACTGTATATTCTATGTTTGTAGTATTTAAAAAAAAAAAAAATTACATGTTATCGGTGATAAAAGGAACCATCCAGCAACACAACTTCATTTTTTCAATTTTTAAAGATACAAATTGGGGGCTTAAATTTTTTTTTATTTAGTCAATTTCTATTGAGATAACTATAAAAGAAAATTAACTACACTAATGACAAGGTTAGAAATAGTATCTAAACCGGTGATTATAATGATTCTGTACCCATGTTTTTCATAGCAATGGAAACAAACTAGAAAGATTTGCATCAAAAGTCATGTTTAGCTACTATAAGCCGACACATATAGTTGAGCCATTGAATTGATATTTCTGGTACCTAGTTTTTTTAAGTGTAGGTACTATTAACCATAAACATATCAACTACTACAATATTATACTATATAATTGTATTCTTGCAGAGGCCATCTTTAGATGTATTACTTGGAAAGAAATATCCCCATTTGGTGAACAGCAATTTAGAACATGGTTTTTATTTTGTGCACAGATTAGACTTTGTGACCAGTGGTGTATTATGCATTGCACTAAACAAACGAGCATGTGCCAAAGCTTCAGGCGCAATTCAAAAAAGAATATCCCGAAAGTATTACATAGCGTTGGTCAGAGGGCACGTGTCCAAAGACCATTTGGATTTGACTGATTCTATTGGTAATAATAGACTTTATAATGAAATTGATGTAATCCATTTATAACTCATTTTATTTTAAATTCCTTCTGGAAATGTAATATTGTAATTATTGCTAATAACTAATATTTTATGTTATTACTAGTAATACTACTCTATTATTATATTATATATATGTGAAATATAAAGATTTTTTTTAAAGCTTGGTATCATTTACAATGTAATATATAATTATAATATAAAAATATTTATCATACAAAAATTTGTTCTACAGGGTACTGTGCAAGAGAAGCTGAAGGAAATCGAAAAATGTGCTCCGTGGAAGAGGTTTGTTGCACCGGGCCGCGGGACGCGCAYACCCGGCTTGTGGTGTTGGAGCGTGGCGTATTCATGTCATATCCTGCGACCAAAGTTCTGTTACAGCTCATCACTGGCCGACGTCATCAAATTCGGGTGCACTGTTCAACAATTGGCCACACAATCGTCGGAGATTACACATACAGTGGTCGTAAAGACACAATTCCTAGCCGAACGTTTCTCCATTCATACAGGTGTGTGTGCTCTGAACATTGACCCTACAAAAAACTTCTTCACCTATCTGTGACGTGGTGCCCCTTAAAAARTGGCTAATTGCTAATACAAATGTGAACTTGCTTGAACCTGRGATTACTCAAAATGTTCAACGACTTTAATTTTGTGTATTGTAATCAAAGTTAAAATAATATTATTATATTACCTATTAGGCTCACCCAAAAAATATATTTTTGGTTCTCTGTTTGTGATACCTTCCAACTGTGAGCCTAGCTTATGACCTTACCTRGGTTAAACCTATTTAAAGTTAAATCTTAAAATTATAAGTCTTAAGTTATAATGAGAGACATAAACAAAATATTAAGCGTATGGTTACGTAAGACCAAAAAGGTTGGGCTGGCGTAAGCAATGAGGCGGTGGTCATTATAAAATATGATATGTTATCAAGTATATAATATTTTCTTGTAATATCCAACATAATATGTGTTTATCTCATARGCGTGCGCACAGGGGGTGGCTGGGTGGGCCGCGGCTCCCCCTGCGRCCTCTGGCTTTTTCTTTAATAAATGCATAGATATGTATGATTATACTAGACAGCGAACATTTTTAGATTTTACGAAAAAAAAGTGAAGCCATTTTTAATMTAATAGTATAAATAAAATATAAATGTGATTAATTTATTATTTTATTAATTAATCAATTATCATCACAAAAGAATCTTTAGTTTGGACCTTTTTAAGTGCCCCCCTGTGGTCAAAGTCTGTGCACGCCTATGGTTTATCTTTTTTAAAAAAAATACTTAACAGATGAAGATGACCGAAACAGAAACAAGTATTTCACACATTGATAAACTTATAACTGAACATTTAAAATTTTTTATTAAAACATTCAAGCTTTTATTTAATATTGTAATATTGTGCCATTTGTCAAAATACTTGTTCATAAGAAAATGTTGCCGGTGTTATAAATTATTTCCCGAAATAACAAATAATGCAAAAATTCACAATTCTGTATTATGTAGAGGAGTAGAAATTCTGTTAAAGCTATGTAATGAAGGAAATTTCACTAACATTTTTTGAAAAAGCTTAGTCATAAAAATCAATTCTTCTATGAGCTATTTGAATTTGTCATTTAGGATCAACTGTTTCTGTTAATACTACATCTGATAAATGATTTTTACCAAAAATAAAGTTAACAAATTTTATCCAAGATCCAAAATATAATAATCAACGATTWAATGAGAAATGAGTTGTGCAAAACACATAACAGATAGTTTAGATATAGAGGACCTTCTTCACAAATAGATAAAGCTAAAGCATTGCTGCGTAATTATTTGAAAAAAGCTTAGAAAAAAAAATAAATATATTTTGGATTGCATAAAAAAACTAATTGAGACATTTATCATAAAAGTTTTTAAAAACTAACTTACTTTATAATAGTTAATAAGTGATGAATTATAACAACTACCTATTTCATATGTTTGTTGACTTTATTGGCGTTTATTCCATTCCTGTATAATTTGAAACATAAGTTAATAAAGAAATTATAAATTTAATAATTTATACTAYTTATGTAATTAAAAATAATTTAATAATTAACACAAATTTAGAATTTCAAATTKTAGTCAACAATTTTTAAAACTGCACCATTCCTAGATTTTTTTTGAAATTGTACCTGTGCTTTAATCGTCACAATAGTTGATAATATATTATGTACCAGTTTTTATTCTACCGATATAATTTCTTTAATGACCACAAATTGATACAATATATTAACATATTATTGTGTTATATTAATGTATGTGATGTTTTTTTTTTCAGACTGGAACTAGGCATCGATGGCATAAACGTCCATACGATCGATCCGTTTACTAAGACTAAACTTAATGGTTTGTGGATCCCGGTGGAATACATCAACAGAGCAGAAGATGATTGTTTTCGATTATTTGATAGCAGCAACTGATATTTGTGAAATGTGACTTACGGTTTATAAAATTATACTATGTATAATGTATTCATGTTACATGAACATATCAATATAACAACCAGTTTTATATTTTAAAACCTTTAATTTTTATGTAGCTTTAAAGACATTGTCATGACTTTGCTTATTACTTCAAATTTATTACCTGTCTTCTTTTGTTTTTTTTTTTTTACAAATTTAGTATTCAGTAAAAATATTGAAATCGAAATAATTTTTTCTCTCACAACATGAATTATGGACATCCGCAGGGGATTACGGGGGAAAGCTCCCTTCCAGTATTTTAATTATTATTAATTGTTTTATTACTTTTAAGACAAATAATGGTATGCATGTTGTTTCATCTAAAATTGTTTACTCAACCTAACTTAATGATAGTATAAACTTATATTCCACCCCAGAACCAATTCCAAATTACGCCACTGATGCCTCCTAATACCGAGTCTTATGAGCTAAAACTGAACTCTTTATGACGAGAATAATCAATGTGCTAAATAATAAAAAATAAACATTCAGTATCATCAAGTGATTAATAAGAAACAGTTAATTTAATATTTGATTTGCTTCAAGGGAAAGATATAACAATTTGATTTACAAAACTATAGACGATTTTTAATTAGGTACCTACCTAAGTTKGTAATGTACATTATTTATACTTAATATGAAAATAATCTTCAACACATTAATATTATGATATAACACTTAAATTACTGTTAGTTTATATCTACTTATCATACTACTATATTTAATTATTTGTATACTGTTTGAAAATT